AATGCTAAATTCTCCTGTTTGATTTGTACTAGGTGCCTCTGTGGATGTGTAGGCTTTGACTTTAACATAGCCATTTCTGTGACCAGTCACAAGCTAATCCTTCAGTTATTTCAATGCTAAATTCTCCTGTTTGATTTGTACTAGGTGCCTCTGTGGATGTGTAGGCTTTGACTTTAACATAGCCATTTCTGTGACCAGTCACAAGCTAATCCCTCAGCTATTTCAATGCTAAATTCTCCTGTTTGATTTGTACTAGGTGCCTCTGTGGATGTGTAGGCTTTGACTTTAACATAGCCATTTCTGTGACCAGTCACAAGCTAATCACTCAGTTATTTCAATGCTAAATTCTCCTGTTTGATTTGTACTAGGTGCCTCTGTGGATGTGTAGGCTTTGACTTTAACATAGCTATTTCTATGACCAGTCACAAGCTAATCCCTCAGTTATTTCAATGCTAAATTCTCCTGTTTGATTTGTACTAGGTGCCTCTGTGGATGTGTAGGCTTTGACTTTAACATAGCCATTTCTGTGACCAGTCACAAGCTAATCCTTCAGTTATTTAAATGCTAAATTCTCCTGTTTGATTTGTACTAGGTGCCTCTGTGGATGTGTAGGCTTTGACTTTAACATAGCCATTTCTGTGACCAGTCACAAGCTAATCCCTCAGCTATTTCAATGCTAAATTCTCCTGTTTGATTTGTACTAGGTGCCTCTGTGGATGTGTAGGCTTTGACTTTAACATAGCCATTTCTGTGACCAGTCACAAGCTAATCACTCAGTTATTTCAATGCTAAATTCTCCTGTTTGATTTGTACTAGGTGCCTCTGTGGATGTGTAGGCTTTGACTTTAACATAGCTATTTCTATGACCAGTCACAAGCTAATCCCTCAGTTATTTCAATGCTAAATTCTCCTGTTTGATTTGTACTAGGCGCCTCTGTAGATGTGTAGGCTTTGGCTTTAACATAGCCATTTTTGTGACCAGTCACAAGCTAATCCCTCAGCTATTTCAATGCTAAATTATCTTGTTTGATTTGTACTAGGCGCCTCTGTGGATGTGTAGGCTTTGACTTTAACATAGCCATTTCTGTGACCGGTCACAAGCTAATCACTCAGTTATTTCAATGCTAAATTCTCCTGTTTGATTTGTACTAGGTGCCTCTGTGGATGTGTAGGCTTTGACTTTAACATAGCTATTTCTATGACCAGTCACAAGCTAATCCCTCAGTTATTTCAATGCTAAATTCTCCTGTTTGATTTGTACTAGGCGCCTCTGTTGATGTGTAGGTTTTGACTTTAACATAGCCATTTCTGTGACCAGTCACAAGCTAAATCCCTCAGTTATTTCAATGCTAAATTCTCCTGTTTGATTTGTACTAGGCGCCTCTGTAGATGTGTAGGCTTTGACTTTAACATAGCCATTTCTGTGACCAGTCACAAGCTAATCCTTCAGTTATTTAAATGCTAAATTCTCCTGTTTGATTTGTACTAGGTGCCTCTGTGGATGTGTAGGCTTTGACTTTAACATAGCCATTTCTGTGACCAGTCACAAGCTAATCCCTCAGCTATTTCAATGCTAAATTCTCCTGTTTGATTTGTACTAGGTGCCTCTGTGGATGTGTAGGCTTTGACTTTAACATAGCCATTTCTGTGACCAGTCACAAGCTAATCACTCAGTTATTTCAATGCTAAATTCTCCTGTTTGATTTGTACTAGGTGCCTCTGTGGATGTGTAGGCTTTGACTTTAACATAGCTATTTCTATGACCAGTCACAAGCTAATCCCTCAGTTATTTCAATGCTAAATTCTCCTGTTTGATTTGTACTAGGCGCCTCTGTAGATGTGTAGGCTTTGGCTTTAACATAGCCATTTTTGTGACCAGTCACAAGCTAATCCCTCAGCTATTTCAATGCTAAATTATCTTGTTTGATTTGTACTAGGCGCCTCTGTGGATGTGTAGGCTTTGACTTTAACATAGCCATTTCTGTGACCGGTCACAAGCTAATCACTCAGTTATTTCAATGCTAAATTCTCCTGTTTGATTTGTACTAGGTGCCTCTGTGGATGTGTAGGCTTTGACTTTAACATAGCTATTTCTATGACCAGTCACAAGCTAATCCCTCAGTTATTTCAATGCTAAATTCTCCTGTTTGATTTGTACTAGGCGCCTCTGTTGATGTGTAGGTTTTGACTTTAACATAGCCATTTCTGTGACCAGTCACAAGCTAAATCCCTCAGTTATTTCAATGCTAAATTCTCCTGTTTGATTTGTACTAGGCGCCTCTGTAGATGTGTAGGCTTTGACTTTAACATAGCCATTTCTGTGACCAGTCCCAAGCTAATCACTCAGCTATTCAATGCTAAATTATCTTGTTTGATTTGTACTAGGCGCCTCTGTTGATGTGTAGGCTTTGACTTTAACATAGCTATTTCTGTGACCAGTCACAAGCTAATTACTCAGCTATTCAATGATAAATTCTCCTGTTTGATTTGTACTAGGTGCCTCTGTAGATGTGTAAGCTTTGACTTTAACATAGCCATTTCTGTGACCAGTCACACGCTAAATCCCTCAGCTATTTCAATGCTAAATTCTCCTGTTTGATTTGTACTAGGTGCCTCTGTTGATGTGTAGGCTTTGACTTTAACATAGCCATTTCTGTTACCAGTCACAAGCTAATCCTTCAGTTATTTCAATGTTAAATTCTCCTGTTGATTTGTACTAGGCGCCTCTGTGGATGTGTAGGCTTTGACTTTAACATAGCTATTTCTACGACCAGTCACAAGCTAATCACTCAGCTATTTCAATGCTAAATTCTTCTGTTTGATTTGTAAACCCCCTTTGTCAAGGTGCCTCTCTTCTCTCAACCAGCTTAAAAGACGCCGCGAATCTTAGCAGCGTTCATTGGAGCTCTGTCGTCCCGACAGTTTTCTGTTCCTTCACCTGAAGAAGGCCGCTTGTGTTGTGGCCGAAACGTCGTGAGAATGTTATTGTTTTATTTTATTATTTTATTCTCATTCTACGTGCCTTTACCGAAAGAACCAAAGAAGATGAAAAATAATGTTTAAAAATAAATATATTTTTAAACATTTTTTTATGATAGAATATAGCATTGTCATCGGTATGACATAAGTATACCGAGTTTGCAGTCGATAGCACATTGGGAAGTGGGTTAAGATTAAGTTACAACATTTGAGGATACAACAACAACAGACAGAGCGACTTAAATGGAAGCGTGTAAATTATTAAAAGGACGAACATTCAAGCGCAGTGTTGGTGACTACTTCAGCTGACCGGTGTGTTGGAGAGTTAAACTCAGGCCGGTCCACCCCTTGTGAGTGCCCTAATTTGTTACAGACCAAGTCGGATCTGATTGGTCACCCCGTGCCACTTATACATCTCAAAGTTCATCCTACAAAGTCCCATCACAAGGGAGAAACACAAACACACTCACCACTAGTACACTCACCACTACACTCACCACTACACTCACCACTAGTACACTCAGCACTACACTCACCACTAGTACACTCACCACTACACTCACCACTACACTCACCACTAGTACACTCAGCACTACACTCACCACTAGTACACTCACCACTACACTCACCACTAGTACACTCACCACTAGTACACTCACCACTACTACACTCACCACTAGACTCACCATTACTACACTCACCACTAGACTCACACTCACCCCTACTACACTCACCACTACACTCACCACTAGTACACTCACCACTAGTACACTCACCACTACACTCACCATTACTACACTCACCACTAGACTCACCCCTACTACACTCACCACTACACTCACCACTAGTACACTCACCACTAGTACACTCACCACTACACCCACCACTAGTACACTCACCACCTCATACCTGTCAATCCACACGGTTTACCCGTTTGGGTTGACAGGTATGATAATGTATAGTAGTGTGTAGTGTATATTAGTGTATAGTACATAGTAGTGTAGTGTATAGTAGTGTAGTGTATAGTAGTATAGTGTGTAGTAGATAGTTGTGTAGTGTATCGTAGTGTATAGTGTATAGTAGTGTAGTGTATAGTAGTGTATAGTGTATAGTAGTGTATAGTGTATAAGAGTGTAGTGTATAGTAGTGTATAGTGTATAGTAGTGTAGTGTATAGTAGTGTATAGTAGTGTATAGTGTTTAGTACATATCAGTGTAGTGTATAGTAGTGTATAGTAGTGTAGTGTATAGTAGTGTAGTGTATAGTGTATGGTAGTGTATAGTGTATAAGAGTGTAGTGTATAGTAGTGTAGTGTATAGTAATGTAGTGTATAGTAGTGTATAGTAGTGTATAGTGTATAGTACATAGTAGTGTATAGTGTATAGTAGTGTATAGTGTATAGTAGTGTAGTGTATAGTAGTGTAGTGTATAGTAGTGTCTAGTAGTGTATAGTACATAGTAGTCTATAGTGTATAGTAGTGTATAGTGTATAGTAGTGTATAGTGTATAGTAGTGTATAGTAGTGTAGTGTATAGTAGTGTATAGTAGTGTATAGTGTATAGTAGTGTATAGTAGTGTATATTGTATAGTAGTGTATAGTAGTGTATAGTTGTGTAGTGTATAGTGTACAGTAGTGTATAGTGTACAGTAGTGTATAGTGTATAGTACATAGTAGTGTATAGTGTACAGTAGTGTATAGTGTACAGTAGTGTATAGTGTATAGTACATAGCAGTGTATAGTGTACAGTAGTGTATAGTGTACAGTAGTGTATAGTGTACAGTAGTGTATAGTGTATAGTACATAGCAGTGTATAGTGTACAGTAGTGTATAGTGTACAGTAGTGTATAGTGTATAGTACATATCAGTGTATAGCGTAACCCCCTAGCGACTCTGTAAGATGAACGTTGAGCTTCGTAAAGGGCACGTGCTCACCAACAACATCTGAACATCTCTGCGACGAGGAAGTTCACTTTAAGGGCTTTGGCGATGCCCCCCCCCCTCTGCCCCCCTCCCCCCCCAGACCTCGCATCCCCCCGGGGTCCCTCGCCCCCCTCGTCGCCCGCCCCCTCGTCGCCCTCGTCGCCGACGTCATCGACCTCGTCATCGCTGCCGCGACGTCGCCCGAAGCAGCGGCGGAGCCGCACCAATTTCAGCGCGGAGCAGCTGGGCGAGCTGGAGGGGCTCTTTGACGAGACGCACTACCCCGACGCCTTCATGCGGGAGGAGCTCAGCCAGAGGCTGGGGCTCTCTGAGGCTCGCGTACAGGCACGTGGGGGGGGTGGGTGGGTGGTGGGGGGGGGGGGAGTGGGGGGGTGGGGGTGGTAGTGGGGGGTGATGGTGGTGGTGGTGGTGGTGGAGGTGGTGGTGGTTGGGGGTGATGGTGGTGGAGGTGGTGGTAGTGGGGGGTGATGGTGGTGATGGAGGGGGTGATGGGGGTGATAGTGGTGGTGGTGATGGTGGTGGTGGTAGTGGGGGGTGATGGTGGTGATGGAGGGGGTGGTGATGGTAGTGATGAGGGATAGTAGTAGGGGGTGGGGGGTGATGGTGGTGATGGGGGTGATGGTGGTGGTGGAGGTGTTGGTGGAGGTGGTGGTGGTTGGGGATGATGGTGGTGTTGGTGGTGGTGGAGGCGGTTGGGGGTGATGGTGGTGATGGTGGTGGTGGTGGGGGGTGGTGGAGGTGGTGGTGGAGGTGGTGGTGGTGGTTGGGGGTGATGGTGGTGATGGGGGTGGTGATGGTGGTGGTGGAGGTGGTGGTGATGGTGGTTAAGGGGGTGGTGATGAGAGTGATGTGCACAGTGGTGATGGGATGGTGGTATTAGTAGTCGTGGGGGTGGCGATGGCAGGAGTCTAGCATACACTGCGACCCGGGTTACCCACGACCCGGGTTGCCTGCCACCAGGGTTGCCAGCGACCCGGGTTGACAGCGACCAGGGATTCTGCTGATGATGATTCAGTTCATGATGATGATTCACCTGATGCTGCTGATGGTGATTCTGCTGATGATTCAGTTCAGGATGATGATTTTGCTGCTGCTGAGGCTGATGATGATGATGATTCAGTTCATGATGATGATTCTGCTGATGCTGCTGATGGTGATTCTGCTGATGATGATTCAGTGCATGATGATGATTCTGCTGATGCTGCTGATGGTGATTCTGCTGATGATGATTCAGTGCATGATGATGATTCTGCTGATGATGGTGATTCTGCTGATGATGATTCAGTTCATGATGATGATTTTGCTGCTGCTGCGGCTGATGATGATGATGATTATATTTCGCCAGGTTTGGTTTCAGAACAGGAGAGCCAAATGCCGGAAGCAAGAAAATCAACTACACCGAGGTAGTGCTTTCATGCCGCTCGCTCTCCCTCTCTGGCCTCTCCATGTCCCGTGAAGAAGGGCCATTGACCGAAACGTCGCCTACCTTGTGCTTTCTTCTGAAGGCTCCGCATGGGGTCACCGCACCGCGCGCCGCTTTTCAGATGCCGCGTCCGCGGCCGTCTGGAACGCTCTCTTCCTTCCGATGTTAGGAAGGCCGCAGGGAGCTGTGATGCACTTTTAAATCATCATCATCATGATCAAGATTGACAAACTCATTTCTTTAGCAACTGCTCTGTGTGCGTGTTTAGTTTGTTGACCTTCCCACGCACCGCCGATGAGCACGGCCGGCTACGTGCGGAGCGAAAGAAGTTCAAGATGCAAGCATTCACCACCACCGTGCCACCAAAACCACACCGTCAGTCACTGCATCCACTATCGCCACCAGCATCTCACCTCCACCACACCACAATCACCACGGATACCACTGGCACCACCACCACTAACACAACCACCAACACCACACCACACCACCACCACGACATCCACTATTCTCGCGTCTCTGATGAGCGCGGTTGGCTGCGTACGGTGGGAAATAAGTTCAACACACATACATACAATACCACTGTACCACCACTACATCCACCACCACCACCACCAATCATCCCACTACCACCACCAACCCATCACCACCACCAGTCCGATTAGCACGGTAGGCTGCGTACGGTGGGAAATAAGTTCAACACACATACATACAACACCACTGTACCACCACTACATCCACCACCACCACCAATCATCCCACTACCACCACCAACCCATCACCACCACCAGTCCGATTAGCACGGTAGGCTGCGTACGGTAGGAAATAAGTTCAACACACATACATACAATACCACTGTACCACCACTACATCCACTATCACCACCACCATCATCTCACCACCACCACCACCACCACGTCACCATCACCACTACTAACCACCAGCACCACCACTAATACCCCCACCACTCTCACTTATATCCCCATCACCACGACCACCATCAACCCATCACCACCACCCCCCTCACCACCACCCCGATTAGCACGGTTGGCTACAAACGGTGCAAAGGAAGTTTTACGTACGCACGTACAACGTACAGTGAGGGAAAAAGTATTTGATCCCCTGCTGATTTTGTACGTTTTCCCACTGACAAAGAAATGATCAGTCTATAATTTTAAGGGTAGGTTTATTTGAACAGTGAGAGACAGAATAACAACAACAAATTCCAGAAAAACGCATGTCAAAAATGTTATAAATTGATTTGCATTTTAATGAGGGAAATAAGTATTTGACCCCCTCTCAATCAGAAAGATTTCTGGCTCCCAGGTGTCTTTTATACAGGCAACGAGCTGAGATTAGGAGCACACTCTTAAAGGGAGTGCTCCTAATCTCAGCTTGTTACCTGTATAAAAGACACCTGTCCACAGAGGAAATCAATCAATCAGATTCCAAACTCTCCACCATGGCCAAGACCAAAGAGCTCTCCAAGGATGTCAGGGACAAGATTGTAGACCTACACAAGGCTGGAATGGGCTAGACGACCATTGCCAAGCAGGTTGGTGAGAAGGTGACAACAGTTGGTGCGATTATTCGCAAATGGAATAAACACAAAATAACTGTCAATCTCCCTCGGCCTGGGGCTCCATGCAAGATCTCACCTCGTGGAGTTGCAATGATCATGAGAACGGTGAGGAATCAGCCCAGAACTACACTGGAGGATCTTGTCAATGATCTCAAGGCAGCTGGGACCATAGTCACCAAGAAAACAATTGGTAACACACTACACCGTGAAGGACTGAAATCCTGCAGCGCCCACAAGGTCCCCCTGCTCAAGAAAACACATATACATGCCCGTCTGAAGTTTGCCAATGAACATCTGAATGATTCAGAGGGCAACTGGGTGAAAGTGTTGTGGTCAGATGAGACCAAAATGGAGCTCTTTGGCATCAACTCAACTCGCCGTGTTTGGAGGAGGAGGAATGCTGCCTATGACCCCAAGAACACTATCCCCACCGTCAAACATGGAGGTAGAAACATTATGCTTTGGGGGGTTTTTCTGCTAAGGGGACAGGACAACTTCACCGCATCCAAGGGACGATGGACGGGGCCATGTACCGTCAAATTGTGGGTGAGAACCTTCTTCCCTCAGCCAGGGCATTGAAAATAGGTCGTGGATGGGTATTCCAGCATGACAATGACCCAAATCACACGGCCAAGGCAACAAAGGAGTGGCTCAAGAAGAAGCACATTAAGGTCCTGGAGTGGCCTAGCCAGTCTCCAGACCTTAATCCCATAGAAAATCTGTGGAGGGAGCTGAAGGTTCGAGTTGCCAAACGTCAGCCTCGAAAACTTAATGACTTGGAGAAGATCTGCAAAGAGGAGTGGGACAAAATCCCTCCTGAGATGTGTGCAAACCTGGTGGCCAACTACAAGAAACGTCTGACCTCTGTGATTGCCAACAAGGGTTTTGCCACCAAGTACTAAGTCATGTTTTGCAGAGGGGTCAAATGCTTATTTTACTCATGGAAATCAATTTATAACATTTTTGACATGCGTTTTTCTGGATTTTCTTGTTGTTATTCTGTCTCTCACTCTTCAAATAAACCTACCATTAAAATTATAGACTGATCATTTCTTTGTCAGTGGGCAAACGTACAAAATCAGCAGAGGATCAAATACTTTTTTCCCTCACTGTACCTGTCAACCCCTTATCATTTCCATAACTTGTTACAGACCAACTCAGACATTACTGGTCACCCCGTGCCCCTTATAAATCTCAACGGTCATCCTACAAATTCCCATCACAAGGGAGAAACACGAACACGTAGACAACATGTGTGTGCCGTATTGAAACGACTGTACGCCGCTTGGACGTGAAAACTCAATTTCCCTGTTCAAGAATACGGGGTAAACCATATGGGTTGACAAGGATGCATTACACTATGCATTACACTATACACTACTATACACTGCTATATGCTACACTATACACTACACTATACACTACTATACACTACACTATACACTACACTATACACTACACTATACACTACACTATACACTACTATACCCTTTACTCTACATTACCATACCTGTCAACCCCTTGCCGGTGCCGATTGGTGAGGGCTTGACAGGTGCGTTACCACTTCAGCACTCTGAAGCCATCACGTGTTCACGGTGACGACACTCATCACGTGATCACAGTGACGACACTCGTCACGTGTTCACAGTGACGACACTCGTCACGTGTTCACAGTGACGACACTCATCACGTGATCACAGTGACGACGCTCGTCACGTGTTCATGGTGACGACGCTCGTCACGTGTTCACAGTGACGACACTCGTCACGTGTTCACAGTGACGACACTCATCACGTGTTCACAGTGACGACGCTCGTCACGTGTTCACAGTGACGAGCGTCGTCACTGTGAACACGTGACGACGCTCGTCACGTGTTCACGGTGACGACGCTCGTCACGTGTTCACAGTGACGACGCTCGTCACGTGTTCACGGTGACGACACTCGTCAGGTGCTCACGGCGACGACGCTCGTCACGTGTTCACGATGACGAAACTCGTCACGTGTTCACGGTGACGACGCTCGTCACGTGTTCACGGTGACGACGCTCGTCACGTGATCACGGTGACGACACTCGTCACGTGTTCACGGTGACGACGCTCGTCACGTGATCACGGTGACGACGCTCGTCACGTGATCACGGTGACGACACTCGTCACGTGTTCACAGTGACGACACTCGTCACGTGATCACGGTGACGACGCTCGTCACGTGATCACGGTGACGACACTCGTCACGTGTTCACAGTGACGACGCTCGTCACGTGTTCACGGTGACGACACTCGTCACGTGCTCACGGCGACGACGCTCGTCACGTGTTCACGATGACGAAACTCGTCACGTGTTCACGGTGACGACGCTCGTCACGTATTCACGGTGACGACGCTCGTCACGTGATCACGGTGACGACACTCGTCACGTGTTCACGGTGACGACGCTCGTCACGTGATCACGGTGACGACACTCGTCACGTGTTCACGGTGACGACGCTCGTCACGTGATCACGGTGACGACGCTCGTCACGTGTTCACAGTGACGACGCTCGTCACGTGTTCACAGTGACGACGCTCGTCACGTGTTCACGGTGACGACACTCGTCACGTGTTCACAGTGACGACACTCGTCACGTGTTCACAGTGACGACACTCGTCACGTGATCACGGTGACGACGCTCGTCACGTGTTCACGGTGACGACACTCGTCACGTGTTCACGGTGACGACACTCGTCACGTGTTCACGGTGACGACACTCGTCACGTGTTCACGGTGACGACACTCGTCACGTGTTCACGATGACGACACTCGTCACGTGTTCACGGTGACGACACTCGTCACGTGTTCAAGGTGACGACACTCGTCACGTGTTCACGGTGACGACACTCGTCACGTGCTCACGGCGACGACGCTCGTCACGTGATCACGGTGACGACGCTCACCTCGTCACGTGATCACGGTGACGACACTCGTCACGTGTTCACGGTGACGACTCTCGTCACGTGTTCACAGTGACGACACTCGTCACGTGCTCATGGCGACGACGCTCGTCACGTGTTCACGATGACGACACTCGTCACGTGCTCACGGCGACGACGCTCGTCACGTGATCACGGTGACGACGCTCACCTCGTCACGTGATCACGGTGACGACACTCGACACGTGTTCACGGTGACGACTCTCGTCACGTGTTCACAGTGACGACACTCGTCACGTGCTCATGGCGACGACGCTCGTCACGTGTTCACGATGACGACACTCGTCACGTGCTCACGGCGACGACACTCACCTCGTCACGTGTTCACGGTGACGACACTCGTCACGTGTTCACGATGACGACACTCGTCACGTGTTCACGATGACGACGCTCGTCACGTGTTCACGGTGACGATGCTCACCTCGTC